TACAATCTCCATTTTATCTAAGCAAATAAAGTGTTTTCAAAGAAACGATGAACAGAGTTTCCTGTTAAGTCATCGCCTTTTAATTGCTTATAATAGTTCTTTCATTGTATTACGATAAGATTTAACAATCTATATATTACTATTCGTAGGAAACCCCAATCTTGAAACTTATTTTTCGAAATGTTTAATACTTAACAAAGAAAATGAAAGTTGTCTTGCTATTTTCAATCTTTATTACTTTATCAAATTCAAAGAATAAAAAAACTTAATTATGATAATTGTGCAAGCTAAATATATTTTATTTCAGACAAAGAAGAAATTTAAAAATTTTGAAATAAGTTTCACTCCTTCATGCATCGATACATTTTTCAAGTCTTTTCGGAATTGCAGTTTTTGAATGTGCATTACTGACTTTTTTTTTAAATGTGAGTTTCATGAGAAAGTGTTACTGGAATTAATATAAACTACTTTAAGTGGGTTTAATCCATCGAAGTTTGATTCGCCACTTTTTGCTCACTGAAAAAAACGTTTGATCGAACTATCTATGGTGAAATTTACCGTGGTTCCGGCACTATTTAAATACAACAAAAAAACTCGGTAATTTTTGCCGAAGAGCTTGGGTAGTAATTTTGGCATAATTAACAATAAAGTATAATTTTATAATCTGTGATAAAATTCGGTAATTTTATCATTATCCATTTCAGCCTGGCATAAAAGCCTTGTTTCTCGGTTAAATGAAGAGGTTAAATATATTTTATGTTCAGTTTTAGATTTTTCACTAAATATGTGGTAATATGAACTATGATTTCGAATCCCAGAAGACCCGGTAAACTAATATCATATGAACGAAAAATTCAGCAAATTAATAGTTTAAATACCGTTTACTTTGGTTTCATTAACAAGAATTATTCTTTATTTTAAAGTACTTTACCATGCATTATGGTAATTTTACCAGAATTATTTGCACTCAATTACAAAACTAGCATACCAAATTTGCAACAAAGCTCCCATAGTTATAATATTCATGATAATTCGACATTTCAATTCATGAGTATGCATTAATGACTACTGTCCTTTAGATGTTTCATGAGAAACGGTTATTGGAATTACTATAAACTATTTTAAGTGGATTTTAATCCATCAAAGTTTCAACACTTTTAGCTACTCTTACTGTTTTGTGTACTTTTGCCAAATATTTGAAAATAGTTGACTGCATCAAAAGTATTTACACTCAATTAAAAAACTAACATATCAAATGAGCAACAAAGCTCCCATAGTTATAATATTCGTGATAATTCAAAATCGCAATTCATGACTATGCCATTGTCCTTTAAATATAAGATTCATGAGAAACTGTTATTAAAATTAATAGGAATTATTAATTAACATTATTGATTACATAACCAGTCAAAATTCAAACATTTTAGCTATTTTTACTTTTTGCTTATTTTGCCATATATTTGAATATAATTGACAGCTTCAAGAGCATTTTCTCTCAATTATAAAACTAGCATACCAAATATATTTTTATGACTATATATTTTAAATTTTATAATTTAACTAAGAATATTTGAAAACTGTTTGAATTCATAATTTTGAATAATAATAAAGTACATTGATTTAGTTGATAAAAGTAATTCAGATTTAAAAGTAATTATTAAAAGTAATTAAATTCTCAGAATACATTTGAAGAAATTAAAGTTTAAGTATCCTTAACATTAGAAATCTATTTCTCAAGAACTATCTTACCTATTTAACTTAAATTTTCCATTCCAAAAATTTATATTAAGCATTTGAAATTGATATAAAATGCTTCAGACATTGCCATATTAATATTTCAAGAATTAATGAAATTAAAACTATTAACACTGCTTTATAATAAATTCTGTGATAATTATATTCGGCTAAAAATGTTCCCTAAATACGTTTAAAGAGGTTTAGATTTGCTCAGTTAGATCCTGGTATATGACAAAAAAAGCAAGAACATCTGACATTCTGACTAAAATATTTGAGACAACTCCTTCCAGATAGTGGATGATTGAATAAATTATATAAAACATATAAGGAAAATTCAAGAAAAGTATGAGTAAATGTGTAATTTATTTATGTAATTTAAATTATCACATAATTACTTAATCAACATATATTCGGTAAACTCCTCAAAAGAAATTGAATTTAAGTATATAAAAGTCTGATTATAAGCTATTCAGCTCTCAGTTTTATTATTTTATTTTACTCCCTTTTAATTAATAAATGAACAAAAAAATCTGGTTCTTAAAAAGAAGGTAACTAAATATATACAGTAAAGAAAGTATTTATTTCAGAGCATCATAAGATTTTGAAAATTTTAATACATTTTGCTAATATAAAAAATATATAATATTCTATAGCTAATTTTAACATTAAATCTTAGTTTTTGACAAATCTACAAGGAGGAAAAAATCTATTCAAATTACAGTACTGTATAGTAAGCACATTTCCGGTAAATGGAAAACCATAACACTGGATAATAAAACCAAAATGTACGGTATTTGAACGATTCATTTCGTAATGTTTTCGTTCTTATGTTAAAGGTTTAGTGGAAATTCTTGTTTTCAAAATTATAGTTCCAATTACCAAACATTTTGTAAAAAATACGAAGTTAAAAAGTAAATTTATCCGAATAAATGGTTTATATGCCATGCTCTAAACCGCCATGATAAAACCACCAAATTTTACCACATTTTATGAAACTATATTTTATAGTTAATTTTACCAAAATACTTCGGTAAAAATTAACGGCTTTTTGGTGTTTCCATAGAGCCAGAAGCATGGAAATGTTTCCATATTCTATTTGTTTTGAGCATTCGTTTTCCCTCGGTGTTGATGGTTAAGTTGTATTGTATAACAGTAAGAATGTAAAGTAATGCATTGTGGGCCAGGAGAGTAAAACTCCACAATCTTGTGACCAATGGCATGACAATGTGGTCAGTCTTGCGCACAAGCCGTATTTACTTACAAGCAAACACATCTCTCATCGACCTGAGGCTAAATGGGGTTTAAATATATATATATATATATATATA